CTAAGAAACACACTTTAGGGAAAGCAATGCTCCTGCACTTAGTGACTGGCGCTTCCCAGCAGGCTTTTACGCCAACCATCCCGAAACCAAACGCTTCAGTGTGACGATCCTTATCACACAGACGGTCCCATTCCAATGCACAGCAATGCAAATAGACCCCCACTGCAGATTTATGTTCTTGAAAGGAGCCATAGAAGATCAGAGATATATTTTCACCACAGTCTACTGCCCCAATCGGGGACAGCACTTGTTCCTTGCGAAAACACTGGCCCTCCTAAGTTTAGAGAGGGCATCCTGGTGCTAGCCAGAGACCTCAACGTACCACTAGACCCTCAACTAGACTCCTCAAGACGTATTAGTTCAGTTCCATCATATTGCATACCCCATTCTAAGCAGGCTGTTAACAAGATGGGATTGGCTGATTGCTGGAGTGTGGCGCACCTTGACGCTAGTGACTACTCATTCTGTTCTGCAGCACATAACCGATAATGCAGAATTGACTAAATTTTCCTAGCCCAGGAATGCCTCCCACTCTTGATTTCCTCTACCATAGGAATCCAGATCGAGTCAGATCATGCCCCGGTCTCAATCCTTCTAAACCATGGGAGTTTTAATGGAATCTTAACGAGAACATGTTGACTGATACAGAGTTCGTAACACAAACTACACAAATAAGGTAGGCAGTAATGTAATAGAGCAGCAGGAAATGCTAGCAGAATATAGGTTGTATAGGGAGAGCTATTAGCAGTAGAAAGAGGGAAGTGCTCATGCCATTGTACAGAACACTGGTGAGTGAGACTTCACTTAGAGTATTGTACGCAGTACTGGAGACCATATCTCCATAAGGATATTGATACTTTAGAGAGAGTTCAGAGAAGGGCTACTAAACTGGTTCATGGATTACAGGATAAACCTTGCAAGGAAAGGTTAAAGGATCTTAACATGTATAGCTTGGAGAAAAGATGAGACGGGGGGATATGATAGAAACATTTAATACATAAAGGGAAACAACAGAGTAAAGGAGGAGACTATATTTAAAAGAAGAAAAACTACCACAACTACCAGGTAAGACTCCTATTATGCTCATTAGGGGTGACAGCTCAGGGGTGGATAACAAACCAGAGGGTGGAACAAAACTATTAGACTACTGTAAAATACATATCTGAGGTAAGGGTATCAATCCCCAAGGGCCAGCTAGTGTGATACATTTAGACAAACAACAGAAACACAGAAATCTAACAATAAGCTTGGTAACCAGGAGAGTGTCCACGTAAATCTAGAGGCAAAGAAAACCACCAAAAAGCCATATTGCAGGCCCACACCTGGCATTAAAAATCAAAAAAAATGAGGGCATTTGGTTTTCAAATGACTAACACATCTGAAGATATCAGTGATGAATAAGATTATTTTAAAAGTAGCCTATCATATCACTGATGGCTGAAGGTGAGATAAGTTAGTTTGATGAAGAAAGTGTGTCTGTGTGAATATTTGTTTCATGTTGGGCTTGTTGAACCTCACCAATTATCTGCTTTGAAGTTACCAATCTGATGTCAAGAAGACATAGTCTTAAATTAGAGGGGCAAAGGTATAAAAATAATATCAGGATTATCTTCTTTGAAGTCACCAATCTGATGTCAAGAGGACATAGTCTTAAATTAGAGGGGCAAAGGCTAAAAATAATATCAGGAAGTATTACTTTACAGAGAGTGTAGTGGATGCATGGAATAGCCTTCTAACTGAAGTGGTAGAGTTTAACACAGTGAGGGAGTTTAAAGGGACACTATAGTCTGACACTATAGTACCCTGAGGGTGCCCCTTCAGCTACTCACCCTTTTCCCCCGCCGGGCTCCCTTACCTCTCCTCCCCCGCCGACATCAGCATCCTTGTCTGACGTCACCGGCACCGAATGCGCATGCGCGGCACCGAATGCGGATGCGTGCGCATTCAAAGTGTCCGTAGGAAAGCATTTTTCAATGCTTTCCTATGGTCGCTCTGCGTGATTGAGGCATAATAAGCCTCAATTGTAACGGATCAGCTGGCACCCCGACTGGGTACCTCCGTTGAAGGATGCTCCTGGCACTTCCTGAGTGCTCCAAGCACTCCAGCAGACACCATAACCACTGTAGACTTCTCCAGAGGGCAAGGCAGGTACAAGCTCTTACAAGAGCTTAGTAGTGATTTAGCAAGGGAGTATGACAAGCATAGCAATCCCTTGTAGCAGATTCCCCCAATAAGAGACGGCACTCCAAATTGAGGGTGAAGTAGAACTGACTGTACTGGCACATACACCCTCTTTTATTCACAATCCACAAACATAGTACTGCCCACAGGGTTTTGAAATACAACCAATCAATCCGTACAATACACACAGACACTCCTTCACAAAATCCTCCCCTCTGCCTGTGATATGATTACTGAACACAATGGTTAATATAATTATCACAGGCAGATAAATACAGTTTTTACAAAATATTAATAACTTCCCAAATATACATGCCATTCACATAAAACATACATTTCCAGAATCAGCATGCTTGAAATATACACATACTCAAAAATCAGGGCAATCGGTTCAGGGGTTAAAAAGGTAAGGGAAAGTCTTATTTGACTGACCACAAGCACATTTTCATGCCCAAAAGAGTTCCATAGATTTGGGCTGTGCGGTCGGGGCCGTTCGTGCAAATAGCCCAGTCTAACAGTGCGTTCGAATTGTCGAACGCACTTCGATTCCAGTCGAAGCGTTGAAGTTCCTGAGAAGGTAACGGTCTGCGGTGTTTGTGTAAATGTGTAGCCGAATTTAGTTTTATAGATTCAGTGGCACGCACTGCTGACCGCGTTCGTCTACATTAAAATGGCCGCCGCCACGTGTTTGGATTTCGAATGGCGGCCACTTCGACTACTTCGGCACTACGACTGCATCCGAAGTGCCAGTTTAAAAGCACAAATCCTTTCTCTGGGAGTTAAAGGGCCAGCAGCAGCACAACACAAATCCAGGAGGCTGGCAATCCGTCTTCTCCAATACCCAGTGGCGAGGTCGGTTTTGCCACATCAATCATTGCCGATGCGCCTCTAGTGTCTGTCTTCTCCAATGCCCAATGGCGAGGTCGGTTTCCCCACATCAATCATTGCCAATGCGCCTCTAGTGGCTGTCCGGAAGACAGCCACTAGAGGCTGGCTTAACTCCAGATGTAAACATAGCAGTTTCTCAGGAACTGCTATGTTTACATCAGGCAGGGTTAACCCTAGAGGGACCTGACACCCAGACCACTTCATTGAGCTGAAGTGGTCTGGGTGACTATAGTGTCCCTTTAAGCATGCGTGGGATAGGCATAAGGCTATACTAACTATAAGATAAGGCCAGGGACTAATGAAAGTATTTAGAAAATTGGGCAGACTAGATGGGCCAAATGGTTCTATGTTTCTCCATATATTAGCACCTGTTTTTATTACTATGTGCACTAATAACAAAGTATGTAACCAGGAAAGGTACATTCAGATTACTCATTTCATCTACCTCGGCATGAAGGGCTGAGTCAACCCTGTGAGGATTTAAATCTGCAACCCCCAAGGGGGAACAGATTCTTCTGATGATGTATTAGCCCACTGAGCTATCTCACCCGCCTCTATTTTGGAGTTTTCTCTTTTACATCCTATAGACTGTATTAACCTCTTCAACCTATCGTTCCTGTACGTTTTCTTGTAATTATAGTTTATAGTTAACTCCCCGCTTCTTATAATATAGTAAAGCGATACGGAATCTGTTGGCGCTATATAAATTGCAATAATAATAATAATAATATCGATGGTGAGAATATCACTTACCCAATTATCCCTGAGTGGGGATTGTATCACTCTATGTTGACCTCAAGTAGCTATATTGAAACTTGAAAATATGTGAATGTATATATATATATATATATATGTATGTATATTCATTACCCAAACATATTACACCATATTGTCTCTCTTTCTGGTTTGTTACATATTTTACTGGACATCTCCTTTGGACCAAGAAGTTAACTTCCATCCATAAGCAGGGATCGCACCGCCCAAGCATATACATTGGTGCTGGACTGTATCTCTGAAAAGTGCCCCCTGCTGACTCAAATATAACACACTATCAGTTTTTGCTTTTATACTATTTTGTCATTTGATACTACTACATTTAAAGGGACTCTCCAGTGCCAGGAAAACAATCAGTTTTCCTTTCACTGCAGGTCCCCTCTTCCTCCCACCTCCCATCCACGGTTGCTGAAGGGGTGAAAACCCCTTCAGTCACTTACCAGAGGCAGCGACATGTCCCACGTCGTTGCTTCTTCCTCTGCCGCCGCTCCTCCCCTTCATTACTTCAGCCGGCGGGGGAGACTGATCCCTCCCACCGGCTGGGGAGACCTAATGCGCATGCGCGGCAATACCGCGCATGCGCATTAGACCTCTCCATAGGAAAGCATTGAAAATGCTTTTCAATGCTTTCCTATGGGGATTTTAGCGACGCTGGAGGTCCTCACACAGTGTGAGGACGTCCAGCGACGCTATAGCACATGGACCAGGAAGTGCCCTGTAATGGCTGTCTAGAAGACAGCCACTAGGGGAGGACTTAACTCTGCAAGGTAATTATTGTAGTTTATGAAAACTGCAATAATTACAGTTGCATGGTTAAGGGTAGTGGGAGTTGGCACCCAGACCGCACCAATGGGCAGAAGTGGTCTGGGTACCTGGAGTGTCCCTTTAAGGACATTCAAGGTGCCACTCCCACTTCCTCCTAAAGTAAATTTAACCAAATGTTTTATTAGTTCCAAATTATTTTTTAATTGACTTATTTCAATTTACACTCCACTATTGTACAGACTGACAGAGTGAGGCACGAAACATGATTAGCTGCTGGCAGCAAAACCACCAATTGTCACCTGGTTTGCCAAACAGAAATGGAGTTGTGCCATATACACCTTAGGACAAACCTTTAAGCCAAACGTTCCTTCATCAAGATAACAAGAAAGGGCTTTGCTCAGCCACAGAAGACGGAGACACCCTTTGGTCAACGCAACAGTTTTTTGGGGGGTTTTTTGAATAACAAATTGGCAAAAACAGAACAAAGGTCCATAAATACATATATATAAGTTAAGAAAACAAAATCAATAAAATCCTGCTAAAATGTTTTAGGGAAAGGTTAGCTATCAGCAGTTACTTACCATCTCTTTGATTAAGGGTATGAATTACCTGTTTTTCTATTATCGTTGACTTAAAATAAAGATTATCACTCACCTTTATGTTGTTTTATGTATCATATCTACAGCAATATTGATGTAGTAAATAGAATCTGAAACATTTTAGGCAATACACACAGATGTTTTAAACCCACTTATCATGTTTTTGAATTGCACTCAGCCACAGTAAGTTAGAAGACCCTTAAATGATTGTTCCTTAATACCACAAAATAGCTGCTATTTAAACATGTTTGGTTGAGGAACATCTGTGCCATTCACAGCCTTGGCACTATGGGTGGTAAAGTGACATTGTTCAAATTTTTGTTCTTTGGCTGTAGTGCTCCGCTTCCCCCTAACTAAAGCAGAAAGCAAAACTGGGATATTTCGAAAATAAGTTTCAACACAAAATAACTAATAGACTACAAATATTTTACAAACTGAATCTAAGCCAATAGTATAAATTAGAAATTATTCTAAAAATATAAAAAATGTAAACTTTGAAAAGACTTGCTGCGTATTAAATGTGTTGAAATATCCTGACTCAAAGTGCTAGATGTAATTGATTAGATAACATTATTTAATCAAATGTCAGCTTTTATTTCTGGGCTGTAACTTTTTATTTTTCCTTTTATGAGTAAGAAAGACACGTCAATGCTGCTTAGCATATAGCAAATGTCACATACATAGTAAATAGAGTAGAGATATTGCATGCAAATGAGATAAAGGAAAACCATATTTAAAACAGATTTAGAAAAATAACATCCCCTGAAGCTGGATAAGACTACTAAAAAAAAAAAAAAGCATAGAATCACAGGTTACACAGTGCAGGGTGAAGAATAGAGTATATATTAATTATGGTCCAGGAGACAAAACAAAGATGGACCATATATAATAAGGCCTCGCAGCAGAAATGTTGTATCTTTGTTTAAATATACTTTATTCTTCACCATGCCTGTGGCTCTGTACTTCTGGATTTATATTGGGGGCTAGCGGATTTCCCTCACTGAGCTCCGGTGTATCAAGACAGTAGTGGGAAGCTCTCCACTACCTGGCAAAGACTCCTAATATGCTCATTAGGGGTGACCTCTCAGGTGTGGATAACCCACCACAGGGTGGAACAAAACTATTAGGCTACTGGAAAATACATCTCTGCGGTAAGGGGATCAATCCCCAAGGGCCAGCTAGGGTGATACATTTAGACAAACAACAGAAACCTAACAGTAAGCTTAGTAACCAGGAGAGTGTCCACATGAATCTAAAGACAAAGAAAACCACCAAAAAGCCATATTGCAGGCCCACACCTGGCAATAAAAAGCAAAAACATGCGGGCAGTTGGTTTTCAAATGACTGACACATCTAAAGATATCAGTGATGAATAAGGTTATTTTAAAAGTAGCCTATCACATCACTGGTGGCTGAAGGTGAGATAAGGTAGCTCAATGAAGAGAGTGTGTCTGTGTGAATATTTGTTTCATGTTGGGCTTGTTGAACCTCACCAATTATCTGTTCCAAAGTCACCAGTCTGATGTCATGAGAGTACACATAGGTTAGCTAATAGACTTCTGAGTAGCTCCAACTAGCTGAGATTCCTTTGTTTTAGATTGTATTCGAATTCGCCAATGTCTGGACATTTCATCTAAAGACACACAGGAATTGTCTCAATGAGCCGATATGTTGGGTCTTAAGTCTTGCTGGTATCATCAGACTAAATCTCCAATATGAAGGCTCACAGGCACTTTTTCAATCTTTGAGTTTGTTTTATTTTTCATTCTCATATTCAGCTGGATTGATATGTTGTAGTAACTACCTTGAAAAGTAGAGTTTAGTGATGTTTTGAAGGGTTAAGTTAGCCTGGAGCTCATTAAAAGTGACTAATATGTCAGATACTAGCTCCACCCAAGGCTATAACATTTTAAAGATGGGTTATTGTGTCTTCTAAATAGATATATAATTTACACTTTCAAAAATGAATTAAATTCTCTTGTTCTCTCTTGAATATTTGTGTACCATAAATTAATTCCTGTAAGTAAATTTAATTATATATATATATATATATATATATATTAAAGTAGAAGAATGGGTGACTCGTAGAGAATAAAGGCAAATTAATTTGCTGGAAAACTGGAAACGATCATTAGTGGATTCTGGAAGTTGGAAATGGATTGCCCTGGCAAGACAACAGGTCAGGACTATAACTAAAACAAATTGGAATTGTACATGTGATTGGAAATGCTATGGAATAACACAGGGAACAAGGGGACAGTCTGGTAAATGATTAAGGGCATTCTTCTTTTATAGTAATAGTATATTTAATTATTATTTAAATTGACCTCTTTATAAAAGTTTTTTTTTGTTTGTTTTTTTTGTCAATCTTTGTTTTATTGAGTGGTATTTGCAAGACATTGACATGTTAAGAGCAGCTAAGAGTCAATACAGAAGAGTAATTAAATTGCATTGCATGAATGGGTCTGCACAAAAAAAAAAAACACTGCCTGAGAATACAATATACACTTTATCCACTCATTTTTAAAAGGTATAATAGGCAAACCAATGCAGAAAAGGTCAAAACACAATCTGATACTAGAAAAGCTACAAATTCTGGGGAAATTGTGTGAAGTGTTCTTGCCTCCACCAGTAGTCTACAACTGGAGTGGGCGGAGTAACTGTTATTATTTATATATGCATAGTATGTCTCTGAAGTATTAAAAATGAAGGCACAGTCGCAGTTTAGAAATTGCACTTCAAATTTGAGCTTTGTAGAGTGAAGTTTCAATGAATGTCAATGGACGGCGTTAGTTGCAAACAAATGGTCATATTGTGAAATCTATCAGGACTATGGCTTAGCCGTTGACATGTTTAGTGGCAGCAGGGATAGCTGAACGTTTTGATATAAGATTTGTGTAGGTGGGCCTGAAAATAAGGGAGTGGTGGCAGTTTAGAAATCATCTCCTGATTTTTCAGCTTTTGCCAGCTCCCACTCTAGCTTTGCCATTCATTCCTATGGGACAAATTTCGCCACAAGAACGACGATATTCTGTGAACCATTCGGCGAAACGTTCCACAAAGTAATAGCAATCCGATCGGGAACAATCTGCACGTTTTGGTAAATTTTTGTCTATGTAGTGTAAAAACTGTGGGAGGAGTTAGGGTGGCAAATTTTGCTATAATAAGAATAATAATAACTAGAAAAGTACAATTTCTGGGGAAATTGTGTGAAGTGTTCTTGCCTCCACCAGTAGTCTACAACTGGAGTGGGCGGAGTAACTGTTATCATTTATATAGCACATTTAATTGCAACGTTGTTGCACAGTTACATTAAACCATACATTTATAAAAACATTAGCAGGTGTTCAAAAGGCCCTGTCTATGACATCACTTGCTGCTGGAGCCTGGCATAGGTCAGAGTATTTTGGCGGTTGCCATCTTTAAACGGTCGTATTTTAAAAACTATCAATCCTACAGCGAAGAGCTTTATATTGTGAGAATCACAAGACCCAGACCTACATTCTGATGCATAGTATGTCTTTGAAGTATTAAAAATGAAGGCACAGTCGCAGTTTAGAAATTGCCCTTCAAATTTGAGCTTTGTAGAGTGAAGTTTCAGTGAATGTCAATGGACGGCGTTAGTTGCAAACAAATGATTATATTGTGAAAACTATCAGGACTATGGCTTAGCCGTGGACATTTCTAGTGGCAGCAGGGATAGCTGAACGTTTTGATATAAGATTTGTGTAGGTGGGCCTGAAAATAAGGGAGTGGTGGCAGTTTAGAAATCATGTCCTGATTTTTCAGCTTTTGCCAGCTCCCACTCTAGCTTTGCCATTCATTCCTATGGGACAAATTTCGCCACAAGAATGACGATATTCCGTGACCCATTCGGCGAAACGTTCCACAAAGTAATAGCGATCCGATCGGGAACAATCTGCACGTTTTGGTAAATTTTTGTCTATGTAGTGTAAAAACTGTGGGAGGAGTTAGGGTGGCAAATTATAAGAATAATAATAATATATATGTGAGATAATATTAAGTGGTCTTGCTATGCAAGAACACTTAATTAATAAAGATGATTTCATGAGCAACAGAGAAAATGGAAGATTATGCTACCTTTAGTGTACTAATAATCTTAATTTTAATGATGACAGGAGACGAGTATTTTGCATTACTCTCTTTACTCAACTCCACAGCAGCAAAGAAAGTACAGAACAATAACCAATGAGAAACAAGTGAGGAGTATAAAAGCTATGTCACACACAAGCACTTCCTCTTTCAAAATGCTACAACAACATGAAGGAAAATAACAATTGAATAACAGTAGTAGCAGAAAAATAATCCGGTTCAAACCAACAAATCTTGAAATCAGGGAACAGATATCCAGTGGCTCCTCTGAAGTGGTTTTAAACTGAAAAGAGAAACGTGAAATACTCTTAGTGCTATGGACCGTGACTAAATGAACAGCATGAAACAATACCCATAAGAAAGTAGTCAATTCACCTTGTGTTAAATACAACTAGTGCATTTAGACCATGGCTGCCCAACACGTAGATGCCCAGATGTTGTAGAACTACAACTCCCATGATGCTTTGCATGCCTTTAGAATGCATTTAGAATGACAGAACATCATGGGAGTTGTAGTTCTACAAGATCTGGGGATCTACCTGTTGGGCAGCCCTGATCTAGACATACATCTCCCAACATTCCCTTATGAGGTCCTGCGACTGAGCATGAAGCAGCTAGATAAATCCTGCTTATAATAACCCATAGTACAAACAGAGTCCTGAAATACCAACCAAGAACTATTGCATGAAATGCCAATTGCAGTATGAAGCATAAAAAACACAAACAAAACTAAGGGAGGGAAAATACTTGCCTCTTGTCATTTTTAAAATTAAGATTATTAGTACACTAAAGCTAGCATAATCTTCAATTTTACAACATGACAGGAGGCTTCATATTTTGCATTACTCTCTTTGCTCAACTCCACAATAGGAAACAAGTGAGGAGTATACAGTGAGGGAAAAATGTATTTGAGCCCCAACTGATTTTGAACATTTGCCCACTGACAATGAAATGATCAGCCTATCATTTTAATGGTAGGTGTATTTTAACAGTGAGAGACAGAATAACAAAAAAAATCCAGAAAATCGCATGTCAAAAAAGTTATAAATTGATTTGCATGTCAGTGAGTGAAATAAGTATTTGACCTCTTCGACTTAGTACTTGGTGGCAAAACTCTTGTTGGCAATCACAGAGGTCAGATGTTTCTTGTAGTTGGCCACCAGTTTTACACACATCTCAGGAGGGATTTTGTCCCACTCCTCTTTGCAGATCTTCTCCAAGTCATTAAGGTTTCGAGGCTGACGTTTGGCAACTCGAATCTTCAGCTTACTCCACAGATTTTCTATGGGATTACGGTCTGGA